AAAAGAAAAAGGCAGTCTTTTGCAGGCATGAGATGGAAAGGGCGGGGAGGACTCTGCCAGGACAGGAAGAAAGATGAGTAAAGACAACTGGGTCAGGACGAGTAACAATGAGCCCTTCCACATGCACGAAGGAGCAAAGAAGGGGGACAATTCTGCCAGGATATGAGGAAGGAATAGTAACAAAATGCCCTCATGAAGGCATGAACGGAAGAGTAAGGGCACCATGCCGAGGCAAGAAGAAGAGCTGGGGCAACATGTGCTAAGACAAGGGGGAGGGGGAGTAACAAAGTGCCCTTGCATAGGCACTGTAGGAAGGGTAACAAAGAGCCTTTCTGCAAGCATGGTAGAACAGCAACAAAGAGGCCGCTTCAGGATCATGGAAGGCTCAGGACCACAGGCTGAGAGAGGTCCAAGATGTGTCCTCTTGAGTCTTCTTGTGTTCCTCATTTCATTCAAGGAAGAACCACCTTTCCTGTTCAGATACCTTCTTTGCCAAAGGGTGATCTGTCCTGGCATTCAAACAGAGGTTGATGGAGGTGGGCTTTCTGTATCCTCAACTTCCCAAGGTCATCAGATCTTGGATATCAATACCCAGAATGACAGACAACAATATAGCAGTCAGTTCATAATGAACCACATGTTTTGGTGTAGGATGTTCAAATGGGCCATAAGTTCCATAAGGCCAAACTGATAAGGGAGCAGAGAGCTTATGGGTTACACTTCCTCGAAGTTCTCCATGAAAAATTATACATGACTATCCCATTCATACAACTTGCTGCTGAAGCAGAAGAATAGGGATCTCAGGACACGGCGAATCTGTTATGATCAAGGTGTCAAGTCAGAGATTTGGGGCCTACCTGATCAGTACCCTGGTCAAGAGTTAAATAACCGGAAGTGATGAGGATGTTCTCAGATTTTTACATGGAGCCAGGAGTTGCCCAGGACTCTTCAGGCCTGCCAGGTATTCTTCTAGGCTGCATATCAGTCCTAATTGTGGTAATGATGGACCTGGGTGGATTCAATCCTTGTGTATTTTTGTACAGCCCAGGCATGGTAGCAGCTGCTTGGCGACATCCTATGGAATTGAGGACTGTAGACTGCTATTTTCCATTTCACGCATTATGCTGGGGCCTTGTCCAGTTTCTTCTCAAAGGGGAGTAACCTTCTGTAAAATCTATAGGACTGAGAATTACTGTGGCTGTGAAAGGGCATTGTTCTCTTCCTTCCTCATGTCCTGGCATAGTTTCCCTTTCCATAGCCTAGAGTTCCCACTGGCTCTCTTGGCTGTCCTCCATCCCTTGACCTGACTGGCCACTCCTATTCTCCATGACATGATTTTTTCCTACCCATTTCTATGTAACTAGCCATTTTCCCAACACAGTTCATTTTTATCAGGGATGGAGGCAGTGCGTTCCTCCAAAATGTTTGTACCACCAACCAAGCTACATGATAACATAATCCAGACAATCACAACATGGTTGCTAAGAGACAGCAGAACTGTCCCACTTGTATGTGACTGTTATCTCAAAGAATGAAAGGTGGGAAATTTCCAAACCCACGATATGCAGAGAGTAGGAAGATGTACTCCAACGGATTCCATATTTTCAACTGTTTATTCTACACTGTGACCTCAATGCGTCTGATGTTCATGCAGAGCAGGATATAAATCCATTGCTATGAAACCAGTTGCAGATATTAGTGTGCTTTTGGCTACTGGCCAGGTTCCATAAATGACACAAAATATGTACTATTACTGTAAACTCTTGAATATCCAATTTCCAAGCATCTGGAACTCTTGCCCAACTCACAAAAATTTCAAAGCTTTATACGTAGCACGTCCACAATGTAAGTTTCCCACTCATCCCACAGCTAGCAAACCTTATATTGCGCTAAGCGACTGCGCGTACGTGATAGAGCAATGACGTAGCATGGCGCATGCACAAACGGAATTTCCCGCGTTCCCACAGTAGCATCGTTGCAGCTGTTGAAGATGGAGGCTCTTATTCCAACTCTCGCCGACTGTGAAGTGTGGTCAGTGATAAAGTTTTTGAATGCACAGAGCATAGTGCCAATCGAAATTCATCGTCAGCTGTGTCGGGTCTATGGGCCTAACGTCATGAGCAAGCAGATGGTGTGTCGCTGGTGCAGACAATTTTCAGCAGGTCGACAAAGTGTGCATGATGAGAAGCGCAGTGGGCGGCCATCCATCATTACAGACGACCTGGTGGAGCTTGTGCGGACACACATTATGGAGAATCGTCGCGTCACAGTTGTGCAACTCAGCAGTCATGTCCCGCAGATTTCCCGCTCCTTGTTGCACGAAACTGTCACGGAGCACCTGTTGTTCTGGAAATTTTGCGCCGGGTGGGTGCCGAAGCAACTGACACCAGAACACAAGCAAAGTGCATGGAGTCACCGTTGACCTTTCTGCAGTGGTACCATGATGACGGCGACGAGTTTCTGGACCGGATCATCACAGGTGATGAAACGTGGATTGCACACATTACCCCAGAAACCAAGCAGTAGTCAATGCATTGGCATCACAGTGGATCTGTCTGTAAGACGAAATTCAAGCAGACGCTGTCGGTGCGGAAAGTGATGTGCACGGTATTCTGGGACAGACGGGGCATTCTCCACATTGACTTCCTGACCAGAGGTGAGATGGTGAATGCTGAGTATTACTGTGAAACACTGCAGAAATTGCGACAGGCCATTCAGAACAAGCGGCGTGGGATGCTTAGTGCATTGTCTTCCTGAACGATAACGCTAGGCCACACACAGCTCAACGGACAGCAAGTCTCCTGCAGGAGTTCAGCTGGGAGGTGTTTAATCATCCACCCTACAGCCTGGACCTTGCTCCCAGTGATTTCCATCTTTTCCTACACCTCAAGAAATTCCTGTCCGGTGAGCGTCAGCATTTTGAGAATGACAGAGACGCAGAGATGGTTGTCACACAGTGGTTCCAATCCCAGGCGGCAGACTTCTATGACACAGGTATTCAAAAGTTGGTCCCACGGTATGACAAATGTCTCAATTCCGTTGGTGATTATGTTGAAAAATAGATGAACACTTGCTGTATCTGTTGCAATAAATATTTCCATGAAATTGTTTTGTTTCTGTAAACGGCCCCAGGGAAACTTACTTTGTGGACGAGCCTCGTAATAAATAAAAAGAAGTTTATGGCCTGTTATGTGGCAGTTCCAGCTGCCACTAGCTGCACAACCCACCTTCATGCTGGTACCATTACTGAATTTGTGACTGCATTACAGTACATGTATCCAAAATCTCTCCCCGTCAATCCACTCATTGCCTAGGAAGACTCCTACATAAGAACTAAAGCAAAAATGTTCTGGTGGTACTGGGTTTCTGTAAGAGATCTTCTCAACAAACTGCTAGGTTTATGTAACCAGAACACCCCATTCCCCAAATACGCTAGATAACTGGTAGCTTCCTGTACTTTTCTACACTGATCTCCAACACACTACAGCATTACAGGCAATGACAATTCTGCTGATGAGGCCAAGTTAGCACATCAACCTACACAATGAAGTATTAAATGCAGGAAAAATGCAAATTTCTGCACGGGATGAAGCAAAGTACACTCACGTATTAGTCTGTCACTAGAAGCCCTGATGAGCAGGTCACAGAATATGATTGCCTGATTCAATGCAGCCAGGCTCTGGATACATTATTTCACTGTGTAATACATTACAGTAACTAGTGAGGTTACAGGCAATCAAATAAAATATGACAGAACAAATACGTACAATGAACCATGGGATGTAGCAGGAAGCCAATGTCAAACACTTTTATACCATTTTCCTGGAATGAAACCATGAAAGTCTCATCAAGATAAGTCAGTCCTTGAATACGTACCTCCCAAATGTTAGATGTATCAAGATAACAAAATGACCATGAACTTTACAGTGGGAGAGGAATACACAAAATATTTAGATGTGTAAATTACTGAATACTGAATGTAAATTAGCCTCTTGTGACATGAACACCTATTGTGCCTTGGCTGCCTAGAAATAACGCATCAGGCTGAGGCTCACAAGATGTTGCTGTGAAGAAAACTAGGCCAGTGTCACAAAGGGACTCAGTTCCATTAACAGTGATCCAGGAAGATGATTGACAATAGAAGACACAGTTTTCTTAAGAAGATTTTAATATCAAGAGATCAATTCCACAACAGCAACTTGTTCCCTCCTTACTGATTTGAGCACACAACATAACAACCAGGTATAAGGACTTTCAAATTCTTTCTTTGATTTAGTAACAGGAGGCCAGATGAGGAAGGACTGAAATCAAACGACTCTTCAGTGCACAGCATCAATACCTGAAATGCTTAAATACCGAATCCTGGAAACGTAATACCATATTTAATTGCATAATTTACACATACCATCAGATGTAAAAAAACTGATTGTGTGTGGAATTAAAAAAATATATTTTTACCACTTTTAGCTTCATATTTTTGGTCAGATACGAATATAAATAACAGAGGTCATTACTATGAATGCTCTGTTTACAATACATTGAAAATAATCTAGTTTTTTTCAACAAATAATCACAAAACCTGACATGTTTTGCCATATATGGTCATCTTCAATGATATCTAATTATAAAAAAACTGGATTAAAATTCAGGCAAATTATTTAAAATGTATCTTTATATAAAATACTTATGATTTTAAAAACTAGAACAATATAAGTCAGTGAAGTATAGGTGTGAATTCTGACTGATATCATACACAACTTAAGAACCAAATAAAAGTCAAACAAGATTTATGTAAGCCTACTTCCACATCACACAGTTTTCTATAACATATCACCTTAGTTAGTTAATGGTTCTGGCCAATTTTCATTATTTTATAAATGCATTCAGCATAAGGACAGTAAATCCATGATTAAACAATAAAATCAGAGAAATCAGAAACAATTCTTTTTTGTTTTGTCTCCTATGCTAAAATAAACTATTCATGCCTCAAACGCTATATCTTTGTCTTCTCTATCCCACCAAAAGTGGAGACAGAACCATTAAGATGTCAGGTAAACAACTCGCACTTCACTGGCTTATACTGTGCTACTTATTATTTTAAGTACTTTAAGCAACCAGCTTTTTTAAATAATTCATGTCACATTTCCTCTTATAATTGAACATTCCTCAAGATGGCCATACATGGCCTAAGCATGTCAGGTTTCATAATAGTTTATTAAAAAACTAAATGAACTATATGGTATTTGAAATATTTAAGTCAATGAATATAAACCACTTTTGGTAAGGGATGTCCGAAACCTTATCATTAAGTTGTGCCTTTGTGTACTGCTTTCCAACCTGACTCATATCCTATCTTTTCAGACATATGTAAGGCTTCCAAAATAATGTGCACCCTCCAGCATTTCTACATTTGCTCCACTCACAAAGCATGGGCTCAGTAACTTGTAAATGCCCATGGGCAAACAGATCTGAAGGGAAACAGAGAGACGCTTGGATGCATACCCGCGGTATCCAGATTCTCTATGCTCCTGGCATGGGCCCTGCAGATGTTATCCATATAAGGAACTGCTGATTTACAGTTGAAATAAATAATGTAGTCTCAGTCACCTTTAAGACCTCACGTCATCAAAATGCCCTATGATTTTCTCTAGCCCTGCATGGGCAGAACTGTTTTATTGAATGCAATGGGTTGGCAAAGTATTTAGTTTGCCTCAAAGTACTTAACTCTACACATGCTTAGTATAAAAAATTCTGGCCTTCCAGAGGGCCCAGTTTGAAAATTTCAACTCTTGCAAAAATCACTGTATCTGACAATGTGCTATCTGTTGGCATTTCATGTGAACTAGAAGTAAATAAATATTTGAAGGAAATTATTTTCACACATGTGAAGTTCTAAGGGAGATATTATATGCATTATTTACAAGACAATTAGGAAAACCTAATATAGCTGCTAATAAGGAAAAACAGTGCAAATGATTGTGACAATGAAAATGACAAAATATCAGTTACTGTGGAAATGACTGTTTCTGGAAATGGGTACCTTGATTGAATGTCTGAAAGCATCCACATGAGAACACAGTTCAGAAGGTGATCTAGAATGAAATTCTAAACTTACAAATCTTGAATTTTATAACCAGCCTCTCTTTGGTGAGGAATGTCCAAAATCTCATCAATTCTTAAAAAAATAAATAAATAAAAAAAATGAATTGTACAGTGCATGATTTGTTTCACTACAATGGTAATTCATTACAATTCAAACACTAAAATATAGTACTGTAATGTGTAAAGCCGTTTCTAGGCAACAGCTCAGTAAATACGTGTCTGCTGCAACAGAGGTACTTTTGGAAATGGTGTTTTCTGCTCAGTCTGTGCAAAGGGGCTATAAGAAAGACAACTGAACCAAGATGATGCAGTTGGAAGGGAGATGAGATTCAGGGAGGGCTTGAGCCCGGAGGCAGAAGAATAGCCTTTTTGTTACAAGCCATTACCAGGAAACGTCTAGTAACAGACTGGAAAGTCTGTGTGCTCTATCGATCTGTAACCTGGAAATTAGCAACGGTACCATAATCAAGAGTAATTATGAGTTGTGTTAAAATGGTTAATATCCAACATTTGATCCAAAACCCCATCTACAGTCACACATATATGACAGTAAAATTCTTTCTCCTCAAAATGGTGTATAATAAATCTATGTGAATGAATATTATAGTACTGGGTCTACAATTTTGTTGGGCCTGAATTTTGCATGTTCTGATTAGGTACAGATTGAATTAAAGCTGTCATTTGTTGGATTACATGAAAAAAAAAAAGCTGTGGTAAAACTACATTTTGCACCACACCAATGAATGTATTAATAAATGAGCAGGAATTTATGCTTTTACAAATAAACTGATATGAGCTAAGAGAAACGGTTATGTGTTACCTTGGATAATTATCCACAAATCACACATTAATCAAACACATATCTTATGCGTAAATAATGAGAGAATGTTTAGCTAAAACATGCAGTGTTCTCATCACTTCTAACAGATTCCTTGAAAAAACTACAGATTCTGAGTATTTTGTCTGTCCAGTTTTCATGTAACCATGAAGCATTTACACAGTTCACAAGATTTTTACCCACTGACAAACAATCAGTAACAATAAAGACATTGCCTTGCACTGTTTATAATACATCATGGTTGGATGTTCCACCTTCTCCTAACTTTGGCTACCATTCACTCTCTCTGTCCCAATACTTGCTATCCCTGAAGCTCCAGGTCGTGCAGACACCGCTAGACAAGCTTATGGCATCAGTAGTGTGATTTCTGCCCTACAGGGCAACAGGTTTAGCATGACAATGGAATTGTTTCTTATTGTGGTACTATTCTTTTCACTCTATCTTTTCTTAGCATCAACAATATCCTAGTAGTGCAGAAACTGACACATCCTCAACAATGTAAATTAAATAAACTGCAAATAGCTTCAGGACAAAACGTGTGCACTAGTGTTGCAAAACATCACAGTATTGTTGCAGGTAATCTGAGTAAAGGCCCTACCTCTCTGACTAGGAGCAGCTGCTACTGTTGGAAAAGGGTCGTCATTTATATCTTTCTTGCCTTTCTTTATTTTTGTCTCTACTTCCACTCGACATCAGGCGGCACTTTCAGAAAAGTGACACCAAACAGAGAACAAATGATTAAAATAATATGTTACTGTAAGTGGCACTCCCTTCATAAATATGTTATGTGCAATGTGCCTTACTGAATTCAGTACAAGAAGTCCGTATCATCTTATGTTAAATTTGAAACATGTAGCAATCTGAAAATTTGTCTGGAGAAGGTAAATATAACAGTTAAAGAGTCAGGTTCAAAATCATACTCATTTGTCACACATCACTTTCTTAACATTATGCACACATAATTTTCCTAATCACAATGCAACATGTAAAATTATATTCTGCAAAGTAATATTCACATATTTTACACACCCCAAATTTCAGACATGAGAAGGTACGAAAATTATGCAAGTAAATATGGTACTATAAACAATACACTTGGAATATTTCAAGTATCTTTCTTTCGCCTCCTTTTTGTAAATACAAAACATATTTAAATTTAATCATTATAATCCAAAAAAAAAAAAATGAGCTGGTATAAATACAATATGAAAAATAAAGGAAATTAAGTGGATAAAATTAACTTTCATAACACAGATTTAGAGGTTCAACTGTAGGAGCAAAAAACAAGACTCTGCTGAGGAATTCTAAAACTGTGAAACTGTTCTGGGTTGACTTCCAACAAATATCCTCTATAGCCAAACCTCAATAATTTGGTTCCTGCCAAATTCCTTTCCTATTTTGTCATGAGGAATGATATCAATTCGTATGCTATCTTGTCCTCAAATTACTGAGGTTCAACCATCCTTCCCATGATCGAACCTCAAAAATACCTGGTCCATGCTCCCATTATATAAATAGCAATACTGAGGAGCATATACCAGGTTCTTGTTTAGTCTAGATTTGTTTCCTAATAGTCATCGATGTCATATAGATCATCTTCAAACTCATCACACTGCATGCTCTGGAAGTCCACTTTGTAGCGTAGAAGTCCTGCAAGAATACCAACATACACATTAAGATAGCTGCAAGTATATGCTCGAGCTTGGAATGGGCACAACAAAACTCATGAACCATACAAACCACTTCTGCAGTGTAGAAACAAACAGAACACTTAATGCGACATCTTGTCTCATGTTGGGGAGGGTGCGTCTCTGACATCATGCTAGTTGCCCTTCAGATGACCTGATGTGATAAAACTACAACCTATCACCTGAAGACAGTTGTATCACATGTGCCTGAGGGCATTAGAACATGCATGTATGGTGTGAAGCATACTACTGTGCACCAGTCTACATAACATGCCTCAGTGTTAGAATGTTAACTGCAGTCCTACCACCATTTGCACTGAGCCATATACATAGTTGCTATTTCAACAAGCACTACATACTGTAAAACAGCAAGAAAACCACAGACCTGTGAACACAACATCAAAACGAGGCAAACACACAAAGCTAAGGCATGTTGTCTGCACCCTCCTCACAAGCATGCAAACGCGAACATGACAGTACTACAGGGGTGGGGTCTCATTGTCTACCTGATGAAGAGGCAAACCGAGTGGAGCGAGCGACCTTAGTAATCATCAAGGTCGACATCGTCCAGAGGTTCGTCCGCTTGGAGCGACTGGAAGTCAACTTTGTAGCGTAGGATGCCTGGGCGAGAACAAACAGTGACAGCCCCTCATCCACAAGTTCAATGCACAGACCAATTGGTCTGCGAGACATGCATACCCAACACCACATGGTATACACTTCAGTGTTAGTCTCAGTCCACAGTCAAATCCCACCCCATTATACTCACCTCCTATTCCTCCAAAGCCTCTCACAAACTGTGAGCCTTCTTGTGACTTGTCTGTGATTATCTCAAGTGTAGCTCCAAAACTCTTATAGTTGTTGGCAAGCCATTCCAACAGTGGCTGACATTCTACCAGCTCCAGCTCCACCCCACTCTACAAATTGAAGGAACAATTTTTCACTGTTTGATAGTGTCAGATCCCGCTGTTTATCTGTTTTACGCTATTTACACAGTGCATTCATCTTCACTAGTGGCAGCCACAAGTCATAGCAAGTAATCACAATTACAGACAACTTCACACAAGCCCAGTAGACTACTGATCAAGGTACCCAAATCTGGTCTGTTGTGACTTTCACAAGAATCACTACACACCACCATCAGGCGTAGCTTGCCTTTAGTTTACATTTACATACTATCTAAAACGCACACACGCGTAAGTACAATCATGTGACATGAGAAGTGGCTGGTTGGTTGGGTGGTTACCAGAGAGCATGGATGCCTAACTTTCTGTCTTGTAGCATATGTGACTGGATCTAAGGCGATGGACAGACAGCTATCAGACATATATTTACATGCATGGACTACATTCAATTTTTACCTAAGCAAAATACTCCCATCAGCCCTTGGTAACATTTGTACAGTATTTACTTCAGCCATGTTACCAAGTCTACAGTATCTTATTTTGCAGTCAGAATTCAACAATTTTATGTTGACATTTCAGTGGACATTTATATTAGTTATAACAGTAGAGCGTGGACTGGCCTGCTGCTGATGACAGACTATGTAACTGGGTGGCTAAACATCTCTTTTGAAATAACTTACAGTATCATGTTAAAACAAATATAGAATACTACATTAACAAAATTACTGTGGTCAGAAGATTCAATCAAATGTGATTATGCTGCCATAACCAGGCATTTCCAATACAATGCACTGTTATTTGAACAGTTTTTCTCTTGGGTTTCTAAAACAGTGCCTTTTTCGATGTTTCAATCCACCAAGGAGAGTAAAGATTGCAGTCTGTCACAGTAAGTGCTGCCCTGTCTGCAGATGGTCCATGAAAGAAAACTCCACTGCAACTATGTGTAATGAAAGGAACCACCTAGTAATCTGAGCATTGACAGCAGACATATTATTATTGCTAAATTTTACATCATGTATAATGCAGTTTTCCTCAAGTCAGTACATTTGTGAAAAGGCAGCCAGCAGAACACTTCAGGTAGCACAAATACTTACCACTTATCAATGTTTGTAGAACCAGGAAAATCCCCACTTAATAATTCTCATACCACAAGTAACACTTCATCTGTATGACATTCAGTCCCTATACTAACACTGCTCACCTCTTTGTCTGTGAAGTGTGTCTTGTCCTTTTCTTGCTCAGGTGTGAGGTGCAGGATCTTCTCCTCTGTTGTTGCATGGTTCTTGAGCACATAACGCTGGATGTCTAGATTCTCCCAGCAAATAAGCGTCTCCACAGACCCCAACTCTAGTGCACGCAGTGTGTCCTCAACTCCAAAACAGTACTTCCCAGTATCCTGGCTAATTTCATCAAAATAGCGCCCTGCAAGAATACGATGACACATTATCTTCATATTAACCATTCTTTGAAAGTTTCACACATTACACTTCACATAACAAACACTCCATTCTCACTGATTAATATAACATAATTTTGTCCCCAGCAATAAGGTATGTCAACTTGGCTGTCCTGCAACTGACCAGAATTCAAATATTTATCAATACCTAAAACCATGACAAAACATGATATTTAACCACATGGAAGTTAATGCTTTTGAGATAAAAAAAGTCTTATTCTCATAAAGGAGTGCTGTATCTGATCACACCTTCAGGCCACTGAGTACAAGAGATACTGGGGGGGGGGTTAAGGATATAAACACCCCAGGAAACTAACATGTAAAAAGAAGGCTGAGGCATGGGCAGTGGGAGAAGCAAGCATAATGAGGGGAAAAGAGGACCAAGAACAGGGATATAATGTTCAGTACAGCAATCAGCCAGAAAATCTTATTGTACCTAAAGTAAACTTTGCGATAAGAAATGATGCACTGAAATGAAGTTCCTTGGTTGGTTACATTGAAGAATTAATAAGAGGTTATTATACTGTTGCACAGTGTACAGTGCAGTGGTCTCCCAAAAAGAAAAGAAAATTACATGATGGCCCATATGCAGGCGAAACGTGATAAACTAGAAGAAATATATGACTAAAGACATTTTAGAAATTGGATAATCACTTTTAATGTATAAAATATACTTTCAGTGTCTTATTGACATATAATGATTTTAACACCATCAAAAGTATTAAAATACATTTTTAGTGTGAAACATAACCTAATGTCTTTTACGTTGTTGTATTATTGGCGGATACTTTGATAATAAGGATTATTTTACCGAGTTGAATATTTAGCGCAAGTAATATAAAGGTGAACCACTGTTCAACTGGTAACGCATGACTAACAAGTACTGTGTGTGATTTAAGAAAATGCCATCCCATTTGGACACCAACTACCCAGTTAAATCCAAACAGTCTAATCCTTCTCTCCCTAACCTCCTTGATGAGCATTCACATGTATTCTCCATCGACATAACACTGCGAAGTAATGTCACTGATCTCCACTTACATGAGCTGGCATATGAAAATATACTGAGCATACAGAGTCATCTGTGGAAAAGATGCAGCTCATGGTGAAGTACAGAAAAGCCACATACAATGTACATTGGTCAAACCAGCCATCCTATCCCCACCAGAATATCAGAACACTTCACAGATACCAGGCTTGAGACAAACATTCCACCAAAATCAAACACAGCCTCAGATTTAGTAAAACTGAGGCCCTAGCAAATATCCACTTATTGTCTCTGCATCATTATGGCAGCCATGAGAATAGTCAAACACTTTCTCAACCTTAACTGTGTACATAGATATAAACTAAGTAAAGTCTGGTTTCACCTCCCTTTCCTGAACAATATTTCCTAACCCTTACTCCCACTTGTGTGACTTGTATATTAGGCCACTTCTTTCTGTCTCATTCACCCTCGAGATTGCTACTATGGTGCATACAAAATGTTGGAACAACTTCAACATGACATCATGATGAGTAGAAGTAGACGTTACACATCATAACAGAGTAACTTTTACAGCAACGCATCCAACCCTCAAGCTGGAAGATGCCTGAAATTACTTATACAAAATATCTACAGCCACTCCAGTTAGAAAAAATACCAAACGAAAAGCTTCTCTGTGGTCATACTTGTATTGCACATTGTACTCATATGAGGGAAAACATACAGTTGCACCTTCAGTACTCAAGACTTCAAATGGGTCCACTCTGCACCCGTGTTGCTCAGCCTCTTCAAAAGCCTTGCCCTTAGCTAGAGCCAAAACCTTCCAAATTGGGGCCCTTTTAACACCCAATGGCTCCATCTAGTGGGTTACACAATAAGAACCTCCATAGGAATGATGAGGTGGACAAACATCAACCATCCCACTGGTGATATGAACAGTAACAGAAGCCATGAAGAACTACAATAAACGTTACCTATTAGTTTCTTTTCTTGAATAAACTTCACATTCTGCAGGGACTCTGCTGCCAACTCAATGGCCTGGTTAAAGCCATTCTCTCCCCCGTATGACACATCCACTAGCTTGATGATCTTGGCCTGCAACCGCTGTAATGCATGCAACAACATACAGTTAACTGTACCAACAGAACTTCTTACAGTATAAACAATTCAGGGTACCTGCATCTGAAGCTATGGTACCACTTGCCCTATTTTGTAACTAGATCCAGTGCACTGTTTGTTCAGCATGACAGAATGGAATCGAAATTCATTATTCTATATTCAATAAGCAATTGTGAACAGTCAACAAGGGCGTTGTCCTGTAATTTAGAGACTGGGTGACTATCCATAACTGATACTTTGTTGTGAAATGTTATGTGCTTAGTACTGGATGGATTCCTTGTAAGGGGCATGCTTTGGTGAACCTGATAATGAATTTTGGGTTCCATATAAATGTGGAGAATTTCTGAAAGAGCAGAATTGAAATATCCTGATGTGAGGAGTGTCCACTTGCAGCAAGCTAGCCATTCAGATTCGTGTAATACTGCCTAGTTAAAGAGATGCCTGTTCAGCCACTAAGGGGAAAATGATATCCGAAAGTTCCCAGACTATTATTGTTGTAACTGAATCAGTGAAAGACAATAGTAGGCATCAGACGAAGAGAGACACCAAAAACTGATGTAGGGATGCAGGAAGCAGCGTCGTCAGCAGTGACTTGAAGCACAGAGCAGATGATGCTCGAGATGGTTCAGTTCGTATAGCAACAGGCGTGTCCAGAGTGGTTTGAACGGCTGTTGTACTGCGATGTGGAAAGCAAATGGAAAAACTACCACATTATCACTTTTCCTGGATAGTCTCTTTCCAAAAACAGAGATACCATATATGCAAGATGTTTCCTCTGGAGACAAAACAATCCGGATGTAAACTACCCCCCCAATCGGATCTC